CAGGGTGGGCTGGGAGCCAGGACTCCTGGGTTCTCTCTCTGGCTCTGGGAGGGGAGTGGGGGATGGTGGGTAGAGCAGGGTGGGCTGGGAGCCAGGACTCCTGGGTTCTCTCTCTGGCTCTGGGAGGGGAGTGGGGGATGGTGGGTAGAGCAGGGTGGGCTGGGAGCCAGAACTCCTGGGTTCTCTCCCCAGCTCTGGGACGGGAGTGGGGGTTAGAGCAGGGGGGCTGGGAGCCAGGACTCCTGGGTTCTCTCCTTGGCTCGGGGAGGGGAGTGGGGGCTGTTGGGTTAGAGCAGGGGGGGCTGGGAGCCAGGACTCCTGGGTTCTCTCCCCCAGAGGAAACCCACACACACATTAGGGAACAAAGTGCTTTTATTGTTATAAATACACAGAACATGGGGGCTGGAATCGGGGGTGTAACACTGACCCCCCCAACATCTCCCCGGGGGCAGGGGGCTCAGTGGGGTTCCCAGGCTGACCCCCCCCACACCACAGCCCCATAAATATGTAAACATCCGCCCAGGGGGCTGGGTCTGGGAACCCCAATATTTGACATGCCAGTCAGGGAGCCACAGACAGCCCCCCTCTGTGAGAAACAGGGGGTCTCAGAACCGGGGGGCTGCACAGACCCCCTCAAAGATTGTGCTCCTGCACCCCCAAATTTTGTGTCCTGGTCATGCTGACCCTTGGAGCTCTAGCCCCCCAAAATCAGTCTGGCACCCCCACATCAACCTGGAGCCCCCTCAAACTAGGGCCCCCATGATGCTGGGCCCCCCAAAAGCAGCTGGACTCCCAAACCTGCACCCCCAAGTCAACTGCCCAGTCACTCCAACTGTGCACAGCACCCCAAAATTCAAAGTACCCCAGACAGCTGCAGCCCCCCATTTCAAGTCAGATGCAGTCGGCTGCAGTTACCCCGATACACCCCTAGAATCCCAACCTTGTACACTTGAAGCTGGATCCTAAAATGCAGGAAACCTCCCCCCAATACAGCCTGGTACCCCAATACTGACAACCTCCTAGTGACACCCCCAAACTATCCTAGAACTCCTGAACCCAGGGTCCAAGGCTCCAACTGTTTATAAAAATAACTGAACCCCAATAACTCATGCAAAACCAGCCACCCCAAACTACCACCCCATCACCTCTAAAAACAGCCCCCAAATTCCAGCAAACCCCCAAATAAGTGGAGGTTCCTGAACTGAATCACCCTATGACTTAACACAAAATCTCTAGTGACCCCCAAAACTAGCAGCCTGCACAGGCAGAGAACCCCCAAACATAACCCCAAGTCCCTACAAGTCATGCAAATTTCTAGTGACCCCCAATTTAAGTGGCTCCCCAAAACTCAACCCCCCAAGTGAATCGCCAATGTGCTTAACTCAATCCACGTGAACTCCCTTCCGGGGCATGAACCCCAAAACTACCAGCAATTTCTCTAGTAACCCCCAATATCAACACCCCATAAGCTACTAAAATAAGTGAACCTCTAAAATTCATGCAAATGTCCCAGTGACCCCAAACTTCCCAAACCGAAGAACCAGGTGCTGCGACATGAACCCCAAAATATAACGCACAATTCCTGCTGACCCCAACCGGCAGGTCTCCTGGACACCCCAAAACCCCCAGCCCCAAACTGTCTCCTGGAAATGCAACCTCCAAATTCGGTCACCCCAAAACCACTCTTGAGGCCCTAAAACTGAACCCCCAATTGCAGCTGATGCCTCTTTCTAAGCCTTGGGGTTCAACTAAGTTTCCCAGTTGAATCCACACCCATCTTCGGCACCCCAAAGTTGGGGCTCCCACATCTAATCTTCCCCATAGTGAACCCCCAAATTCTCATCACCCCTCAGATCCTTGACCCCACTGTGGGGTCCTGCAGCTTCTCCAGGGACTTCCCCAAATCCCCTTAGACCCATCCGGCCCCCCAAATTCCTCTGCAACTGAACCCCCAAAACTGCCACATCTGGAAATGTACCTAAAAAGTTATGTGAACCCCCAAACTAACCCCCAAATGTCAAGTACCCTAATATTCCCCCTTTCGGCGGTCCACTCCCTCCCCCTCCCCTGAGCTAAAATGGGGTTGGGTCTGGTTTTGGGGGTACAACAGCGGAGCTCTGAAGGCCCCCTGAAATCCCTGAGTCCCACACGGAACATGGCAGCGCGGCTCGGCCCCCTCGTGCCAGGCACGAAAGGGTTAATACTGGACACTGCCTGGCTGGGGGGTGCTGGGGCACCCCCAAACTGAGCCCCCCCCAAACCAGGCAGCCAAGACATGAACTACGGGCCGGTTCAAACCTCGCCACCCCCCAAATCTTTTACAATCACTTTCTGACCGGGAAAAGGACCCCAGACCCCCCGTGTCCAGCCCCCCAAGGACCCCCCCCCAGTCCCCCCCCCAATTCCAGCCCCCCCCCAGATCCTCCCCTAGGAAACCCCCCTGCTCCGAACACCCAGTTGGTACCAAACAGGATCCTGTTGGCTGGGGGTCATAATTAAAAAGGCGGGGGCCCCAAGCCCCCCGGACCCCCCACGCTAGGAGAGCCAGGGGGCCAGGCAGGTCTCGTAGACGGTGCGGTTCGAGTGCCAGGCCGTGTGTGGCACCCCGGGCACCAGGCACCGGGCGATGGCACCGCGGGCGTCCAGCGTCTTCAGCCCAAAGCTGTCCTGCAGGTACACCTGGGGGGGGGGATCAGAGCCAGGCGAGACTCACACAGTGTAATACAGATAGAGCCCCCCCGCCCCCCCGTCCCCGCTGGGCATCAGGGCCAGAGACAGGAGAACCCAGGAGTCCTTGCTTCCAGCCCCCCCTGCTCTGACCACTAGCCCCCACTCCCCTCCCAGAGCTGGGGACAGACCCCAGGAGTCCTGGCTCCCAGCCCCCCCTGCTCTAACCCACCAGCCCCCACTCCCCTCCCAGAGCTGGGGAAAGAACCCAGGAGTCCTGGCTCCCAGCCCCCCCTGCTCTAACCCACCAGCCCCCACTCCCCTCCCAGAGCTGGGGAAAGAACCC